TTTTGTAGCAACACTATTTTTATATAATGGCAAAGAAAGGGTTCTTCAGAGTCTTTTCTTTTTTTCCTGTGTCATATGTGGCAGCACTGCCACAAGTTCCTCTTCAGAGAGGGTCTTCAGTACAGGTGGCAATATTGTCACCTGCCTGCGCTCATCTCTGAAACCAGACCATGTAAACAGGCTGGTATTTCTTGCAACAAATCTTTAAGAGATGACATGAGCAGCCCTACCAGCATTTGCCATGGTGGCCTAAACATTTTTATTTGGTCTTAAATTGTAGTTCAACATTTATTTCCTGTTACTTCTGGACCATGACGGTTGGCCAGCCTTCAACGTTTAACTGAGTGGAATATGTTGAATATGTTTTACCAAAATGTTGGCTATATGTTAAGGAGTTTTCAGTAGGTTGTGACAGTGCACTGCAACATATTTGATTTAATTTATTTTGGTCTAATTTATTTTTATTTATCATATTAATATATGTTTAGTATGGTTTTGGAAGTGCGCTCCAACACATTTATTGATCTTGTTTATTGGTAAAATATTATTTGTTTTAAAGTTCAATAAATGGTCAATGAATAATCGTCAAAATAATCGTGATATCAATTATTGACCAAATAATCGTGATTATGATTTTTGCCATAATCGCACAGCCCTACATTGTCGAGTGCAAGCTCTTGAGATATACGGGTCATATTTATTAGCAGTGAGTTATCCACACACTGCAGTGTATCGAGAGGGGACCACAATAAATTGTTCCTCCACCTACCAGCACGCAGGGCCGGCTACAATTTGCTTGGTTGATGATGCGAGATTACAGTAGGGGATGCAACTTTGTTTTGGCAGGTGTATCGGTAAGTGTTGAGTTTAAAGTGGATTGGATAAGCAGTTTTAACGAGCCCATAGTTATAATTCCATGTGTATTCAGTAAATCTCTAGAATATTTAAACCTCTTGGTATTGATACGACTGCAAGATATGTAAACCTGTCAAAAATGTCATCAATGATATTTAATGTAGTAACAAGTGGTTGATGTATATCGCATAGCATCATAGATTTAGGGCACATATACATTTTGGTTAAGGAAAGATTAGGGCTGTCAATGTTAATGATATGTCCTGTTGCAGGCTTCAATTTACTTTAACCAAGACTGCAATCCCTAACAATAACTATGTTAATATGCCTAAACAAATACTACACATCATCAGTGAACAAATTCAGCACATACACTGAAATTATCACTTGTTTGTTGAAAAAATAACATTCAAAGCATTAGGGATCCCTCCTCTGTTGCTCTCCCTGAGGTTTGTCCCATTTTTTCCCCTTAAACTGTGGGTTTTCTCTGGAAGTTTTTCCTTGTACGATGTGAGGGTCTAAGGACAGAGGGTGTCTTTTTTCTCATACTGATATTCTGAACAATCTGTGCTGTTGTATTTGCTGTAAAGTGTCTCTACTGTAGGCTATTTTTATTTTATGTACAGCACTTTGGCTCGACCAAAAATTGTTTATAAATGTGCTATATAAATAAAACTTGATTTGATTTGAAAAAAGAAAACAGAACTTTCTCCAAATGTATTTGCTGTATTATATACACTACATTTCAAAATAAATTGTATCATCATCATCTTAAAATGTGATCCTTTTTTGAGCATTTGGTGAACACTGTAATAATAATGCACACTTTTAATGTACCCATTATTGAAGAATATTTTTTGAGCATGATTACACTGAACTGGAACCCCAAAACTCTGCAATTTGCATCTGAATCATGTAGTTTTTTCTCATAGTGGACAATTAATTCTTATCGAAGCGAGAGGAGGAAGGAAATAGTAATGACCTCATGGCAAAACATCTCAGGATGGTGACAACTATTTAATGCTCCATGCCAAAATCCCTTTTAATTCAAGCAAAGATAAACTACAGCGACACAGAGGAGGTCTAATCAAGTCAGAGCCCATCAGATGAAAATCAGCATGTTAATACAGAAATACCTCAGTAAGGCATACCATGCTGGGCATCCACAAAGCAATAAATTGGCCGAATGATTGCCTATTAAAAATAAAATAAAATGACTTTTCATTGCATATATCACAGCATGAGCTTTTAAACATAATGGATGAGAGGAAGGTGGAGAAAATAAGCATTTATATGTTGTTTCATGCTGAAATCGATGTAGAGCTATTCATATGAAAGACAGACATTTTGTTTTTCAATGTACGAAACTTGCAATCTAATAAACATTTTAAGCTAAAGTGGCGGAAGGTCTGTTTGACAGATTTCACGGGATCATAAGCTCATTCTGCATGCACGGCTACACAGCCAACAATGGCTAACGCAGAAGTGTGTAGTACACAGATGATAATGATGTTGTGAATATAGAGATCAGAGTCTTCTCTCTCTGGTGATTAAGCATCCTAACAAATGCATGTATGAGGACAGCCTTATCACCTAGGACCACACAGAGGCCTTTCCATATCTGCTCCTCTCAGATGGCCAACCTGCGCCTGCCATGGCGCTACGCTGCCAAATAAAAACACCACAGGCATTGCCTCTGTGGCCAGCCTCGCCTGCAAATTTGCCTGATGAAAGAAATGTTTTTCAATTCAGGAAAGAGAAAAAAGTTTCCAGTGCCTTATCACTTTAGGACAACTATTTTGTAATTAAATGAAGCACGGGAAGGACATAAGTCTGGAGAATTTGTTTGGCTTGTTAAAACTTCACAGCTATTGTCAACTTGTTTACTGTTGCTCAGATTTGGGGCCTAAAGCACTCTCTGTGTATCTTTTTTGTTAGCCGAGTAAATTATCTTCATTGGTAAACAACTGGAAAATGAAAATAAGAGTGGAACAACCTTATATACACATTAATATGTTTCATTTTAAAATGGCCTCTTTGCTTTTTGCCTTGCCTAAGCAGGAAACCCTCTTATTCAGCATGCAGCTTGTTTTTGTTTCACACAGGTTGAAAAATAGTCTTGACCTCGTGCTGCAGCTTCTCGGAAGGTTTATAAATGTTCCAAACTAGTGTGAATAAGATCGGCTTCAGGTCATTACATTAATGGATATGCATTTTAATTAATGACATCCTCATTTGCATTGCATTCATTATCTAAATCATTTTGTGTCATCTGTTCACTGTAATTACTACCCATCAGCAGCTTCACTGAATCAGGCTACTTCCCAGAGATAACCCCGTGCTTACTGTTTTCACCGTTGAAGAAATGCTTGGTTACCTTGATGAGGGTAAAGGTGGATAGATAAAAACATAAACAAAATAACTTTAGAGTATAGTTTTTATGAAGTTAACTAAAACTAAAATGATTGCTGGGTTTGTTTACTGATGGTTTATAGCTCAGGCCCTGGAGTGGCCTTTGTGAGTGTGTATGTGCAGACTTGTCGTCTGGGTCTCTGTGTTTCATTAAAGCTCGGCTCTGTGTGTGTGTGTGGAACGAGCCATTTTGTGTTCGCGAGAGAGAGAGAGAGCACCGGTACCGGAGATCGTTGTTGTTAGCTTCTGGTGCTAGCGAGCTACGCTAACAGATATAAGGAGTTTTTTCAACAACAAAGTGGAGGAGAGTCCTCTCCTGTCAGACTGAGAGGCTCAGTGAGCTAAAGGACTCTCTCAGTGTTATCTCAGTGGGTCTCAAACGTTTTGGTCACCATTAATGTAAACAATTATTTCCGAGGCACACGTTTATATGATCATTATAGTTATACAAAAATAAGAGAATCAATGAAAAACAGGTATGAAATACTATATGACAGTAAAAAAAGAATACATTTTAAAAGGCTGATTTGTAAAAAATCCATAAAGAAAAAGTAAATCTGTTTCCAGGTCTGTTTCATATGGGTGTTGAGAGATGTATCCATAGATCTCTTAATTTTGCTCTCAAAGTGCACCAGATTGATGCATTTAACTTCAATATTTAAAAATAAATCTTCCCGGGGGAGCATGCCCCCGGACCCCCTATTTGAGGTCCACACACCACCTATAAAAATAGCACTTTACCCCTGCTTACACCTATATGCCGTGAGCTGATTATCGAGCCTTCATTGTAACAGTCGTGGGTACATTGTGTATATGCGTGGGGATTGTTGCAGTAGAAAATTCCACTGTAGCGACCGGTACATTAATGGGAAACCCTAAATGTTTGAGCACCCTCTATGAAACGTCAAGCTACCCCACAGCACCCCCAAAATAAATCTCTGGCGCCGCCACTGAGCCTGACTTGTGTTGGGGGGGGCCCGACTTTTTCTTTGACAGAAAAAGTTTGAGAACCACTGGTTTAATGAAATGCAGGATAAAGATCACTCAACTGAAAAATAATGATTCAACATGTTCACCTATTCTCTACAGACCTCTCAGAATACAGGTAATAATAAGTATCACTTGTTTAAAATAGAGAAGCATGCTTTTACAGATGTAGAAGATGTGTGGGAACAGAATCAAGCAGCCATCTTTCCTCTAACTCTCTCTGGTAACTCGTTTTGAATTTGAATGGTAAAGACATTCTAGTAGTCATTAGTGTCTGTTTACGCTTATGTTGTTTGACCACTCAGCGATCAATACGTATTTCATCGACAGCCTCAGAGCACGCAGCAGAGGAATTGCTGTTTACCTTGGTTAACAGGTGGCATCTGTGAACTGCAATCGAATCGTTATTTTAAATGTATTCAGTTGTAAGAATTCAGAGCAAAATTAAAAAATAAGTCAATGAGAACAACTTAATTGTGGTTATAATGAAACACAATATAAGTGATCATGTCGAGCAGGAGGCAGAGTTGAGAACTCCCTGCTCTCACAGTCCCTGAATGTGATTCCCAATCTCAAGGTTTGCTTATAGAAAGACACATGGATAATCAGGTTAGGCCACATTTACACTTCTATATATTTTAAAATGCAAGGTTTCTGGCATAATCTTTAAATGAGACTAAAATGACCAAAGTCCGAGACTGACAGAAAATGTCTTCACAAATGAACAGAGAGAAAAGCATTCTTACCTGAGAGTAAACATCTCCACGGGAGAGAAGGCTGCCACGCTGATGAAAGCAGAGATGGTTTCCCTCTGTCTCATGGGTGAGGCTGGCACCAGGACCATAAAGTTATTATCCAGCCTGTGTTCAGCGAGGGGTGGAGGAGCGGGGTTCTGGTAGAGCCTCACACCCCCGATCCTCCGCAGCGGTGTGGAGGTGTAGGAACCAAACGGCCCCTCCTGGCTTGAGCGGATGATGTTGTCCTTCCTGGCCTCCTCTGAGTGGCACTCCCCCCCCTCTGTGGACTGCAGCATGTAGTACAGCTCCACCGGTGTGCCCTCGGACATCTCCAGGTTCTTCTGGCGGCCCGGCACTACGCTGGGTGGGCTGAACCAACCGGCCAAGGGCTCCAGCTCGGCCACGCACAAACCCAGACCCCCCTTCAGCTGGCAACTGCCACGCACTTCCTGGGTCTCATGGAAAGCAAACATGTGCACGCAGGGCAGCTTGTCGATGGCGCTGTAGTCATCCCAGTCCCTGCCGGCAACATAAAACAGCACCTGGACCCTGGGCTTCGCCAAGTGAATCCTGGTTTTCATGATGAAGGTCTGCACCTTCCAGTTGAAGGTAAAAACAGAAGAGGTGGGAAACGTCCCCGGGGTCTGTAGGAGCTCTAACGGGACAGGCTGCTCCACAGACAGAGGCCCATAGCTGGTGTTGATGGAGGGCAAACTTCTGGCCTGGTAGATGAAGAAGGGCTCAGTCCGCGACATCAGGCTAGAGTTCCTCATAAAGTCCTGGTTGGCTTCTTTCAGGAAGAAAGCCAAGTCAGCGTTGAGCACCTGGTAGTTGACAGGCAGGTATGTGGGGATGGAGGAATATCTCTGTAGTCCTTCTAACACTCGACAGTTGGCTACTGAAAGACAGAAGAGAAGAGCTGAGTCAGGGAAAGCTCATACAAAACTTATGTGAGTGACAGCCATTAGAAGCAGTACAAAAAAAGACAAATCTAGACATATGCAATGATTGCTATGACTGAGTTTTCCATCATAACTTAATTAAGGCTATACCAATCAAGCAATCTTTGCAACAAAAACATATCAATTTTCTTTGCAATTAACTTAGTGTATTGACTGCTTCCAGCTTGCTGCTGTATCACTGAAATACAACAGCTATTCTAATCTTAAAAGTAAAATGGAGGGGAAAAGGGGTAAGAGCTTTTGGCTTGGGTTGAGAGGATGAGACAAGCAAAAGTAAAAGTACTATTAAAGTCAAATCTAATGACACACATTTACAATGTTGTGATGCTCTGATAATCATTCTGTTATGGCTACTTATCAAATCATATATAGAAATAAACATGATTACAATTAAGTGCAGACTCCTTTATTATCCACATTGGTTGAGGATCAGCAAAGTTCAGATACAAATCAAAAGACTTTGACCTTCCTCTCAAGAGCAATCTGCTGTGTGATTACACTCCTTCGGCACACTATCTTCTTTCTGGCTGCCAGAGGATTTCATTCCTCTGATCATCCATGTAAATCAATGCCCCGACAGTTTACAAATCAGACAGGGATTTGTGATTCATGATGGCCCTCTTGACCTCCGTGCTGCTATCCCAGTGGAGGATACGAGGATGGAGGCAGGTCCAGACCTCCACACAGGGGCAGCAGCTATCCTACGTAAAGCATCAGTGTTCAGAGTTAACACTCGGCTCTAGACCATATGAATACGACAGGGACCACAGACTTCTGAGCAGCTGGGAAACACAGAGCAATTTGTATTTTTACTGAACAAGCAGGATCCTTTTGTTGTTTGTTGGCAAGATGCATTGTTGTATATGTGGATTTTCACTGCTGACAAATGAAAATATTGATAATTCGGCAAGACAGAACAGTCAGGAACAAAGTCATCTCCTGGTCCCTGGGTAGTAATGTTACCCTCACTCCCATGTCTGAGAATTTGCGTTTCAAGTAAAGTGAAAGCAAAGTGCTCTCTCCACAGGACTGCGCTTTCTTTTCAAGGCCGACATAATGGACTGAAATGTGCTCAATTGTGCTTATACACACACACAATATGGAAACAACAGGATTAAATTCATAGATCACTGACGTTATATTACAGACTTTTGTCGAAAATCGATTTTCATCTTGATATAATTTATTTAAAAATGTACCTTTGTGCAGCAACAAGCATCTACTGTAATTTCTTGAAGGTCTAAAATACCCATTATGAAGAATGTTATCCAACCATTATAAAATACACTATTCTTAAAGGCTGCTCTGATAAAGCAAGCAAACTCAATGGGCCTATATACGTTTTTACAATTTCAAGTGCAATACAAGAATAGCATCTGAATGAACATGTGAATAAAGATCTTATTTCAGGAAGGCAGAGTGCTTGTTTAACCACCATGTGTCAAAAAAATAAATGTGTAAAAGTATTTGAGGTCTATTTAAGGCAAAGCACACCACGGCACATCTTTCATACAAATAAAATCTACAAAACACTTTTATATCTTCACAAAATGTGCAGTCAATCTAGTGGAAGGGGAACAGAAAATGGAAAAGAGAAATACAAATTAGAGTCCTTGTATGGGCCAGGCTCAGATTACATTTAAAGTAGCTTCAACATTTCTTTAATCTATGCATTGTTTTTTAATTAAGACATTCAAATCATGGAGCTTTAATTGTGATTATTTGAAGACAGTCTGTTCAGTGTATTTCAGTGTGTGCACTACTATAAGTAGTTGGGAGGCAGTTCGTCTCCAAGCGGCAGAAGCCTTGTTTAGAAACAGTGGGAGTATCACAAGACAAATACACCTGGATATCTCCAAACCCAGATCCAACAAGATCAGAATTAGCAAGCCTTTGTTATGGATTAGAATTAATAAATCATACAAAGCTATTTCAAGATGAATTGCTCCTTGCTTTGTTCTGGGAAGGAGAAATTGAAAACAATGTAAACCTACTTTTCAACTAGTCTGTTTTTCTCTGCAGAAGAGTGTAGCTTTGATAACTGGAGCCCTTGAATATTGCTTATTTTGTAATGGGCTCCTGCTGTGGCCCCAGTACAATTTACAGCTTTTACTTAATTTATATAATATGTTGCTAAAATGATTTTTGGCAAGAGATATGAGAAGATTGATATTATTGATGTTGTAAGTACAGTGAGTCCTTCCGAAAGTCAAGGAAGTATTCTTAAATGTTTTTTATTTACAGCACGCTATTTCCAGTATACGCTTCGTCATCCAATGTCTAGGATCCTTAAATGCCCATAACAATAATAATAATAAATGATATGTATATAGTGCCTTTCAAGGGACCCAAGGTCGCTGTATATGGTGGACAAACAAAACAAACAGACAATCAAAGGGCAAACAAAAAATAAAGGAAGCCGGGGCTTCCGGACAATATGCGTATGATGCATTTCCTGTCCCCTATTTAGAAACTAAGAAATATGCTACAGAACTTTTGGTTACTATAGGTTGATATTAGTTTTTCTCTGCCACCCCTCTGCTATGTTAGCTTGGTGCAGTTGGTTTTAACTTAAAGGGGACCTATTATGCAAAATCCACTTTCTCATGTCTTTTATATAAACATGTGTCCCCTCTGTGTAAAGAGATTCTGAAAGTTTCAGGAAAAAAGATTTGCTCACTTTTTGTCCTGATCCATTTATATAAAAACCTGTCTGATAATGAGCTGATCAGATTTTGGCAGCTTTATGATGTCATAACGATTTTGGTAACACTTTATGGTAAGGGTACATGAATCATCATGACTTAATGCATGAAAAAGCATGAATTCATTCATGTAGTAGTTCATGAACTATCAGTCATGTATAAGGATTAATAGTATCTCATGCATAACTTAATGCAGGAACAATACCTTAATTAATGCATCAACTAAGGTATCTCATGCATGACTTAATGCAGGAACAATACCTTAATTAATGCATCAACTAAGGTATCTCAATCATCATGACTTCTGAGTTATTAATGATGTTCATGTCTTCTTCATATAGATCTGCAGTTAAAGTGAAAGGCCAAAAAATTGACCAGTCACAGCAATTCCAAGTGTTGTAATCATGATTAACTAATCATGTTTGTGCCCCTTCAAATAAAGTGGTGACCTGTTCCGTCGTTTACACTGATAAATAACATATGATTAATAGCCTATGTGAAATCACCTTTATTAACCATTTGGTGCTCATGCATCAATCATCTTTGTGATGCCTCAAATAAAGTCAGCCCTTTAGGCATCATGTATTTGGCAATATTACAAATGCAAATTAGATCATAATTTTGGACTTAATTTCAATTTTCAATTATATAGTTAGGACTTTTTTTATGTATCATACAGTATTATCTTAAAGCTCACAAACCATTTAAGATAACTCATTCATAATATTAACAAACTTTAATTTATAATTTAAAGCCAACAAGATCACATTTTCACATATCATGTCACATAAGAAAGCAGTACAACATTTCGGCAAAGACACAAGATTAGGAGGCCTACGTTAGGGAATTCATGCATTAAGTCATTGTGTCGTCCTACGTGCACGTATCTTTTGTGCACTTTGACTGTCAGCTAAACACCTTCCATCATCAAGGACTAGAGACCGTAGATGTCGTTTAATCGCTTTTAATCATGAAGAAAGGGTGAAACTAGGAAATAAACACAATACAAGAAGTACATAAATATGCGGAAGAATAATTACACACATACGTTGAATCAACACCAAAGAACATACACAAAATTATGGCTGTGGCTAACGGTAGTTCTACAGAGGAATTTACAACACACATTAACTATCATCTCAAAACTATTCTCTATAAACATATTCATTGTAAATGAAAGAACACTACGTTTATATCAATTGTACATACCAATAATGCGACCAAAGGCACGGAACGTCAAGGATTAGGGCAGATTGTGGTCACCAAAAAAACATGTGGCTGTCCTGTTCACATGCAACTTCCTTATTCACTAGGTCACATGGTACATATTTTACACATTACGACTACCGCCAGCAGGGGGAGACAAATCCAACAAATGAACAACAATGTCCTGATGAGGACAGAACACTCCCTGCCTGGTATCTATTGATAACACCCATTAACTTGGCTTCTAACTATCAATGTTTGAATGTCGCTACTTGCTCTTGTAGTCTTCGTCGGAGAGAAGAAGGACTAAGTCTGTAATAGGTCTGAGGAAAAGCTTGGCACCATCTCCTCTGGAGATCTTGACCTCTACGCTGCGGACCCTTCCATCTTTGCTCGGGAAAGCCTTGGTGACCAATGCCAATGGCCATTCGTTCCTCTTGGCTTGTGAGTCTTTCACAAGCACAATAGTTCCAACATCAATGTTTGGCTTGCTTGTGTGCCACTTACTCCTCGTCTGCAAAGTTGAGAGGTACTGCTTCCTCCATTTGTCCCAAAAGACATCTGCAAGGAATTGAACCTGACGCCAGTGACGCTTGTACAGGTCTTTGGTGGCGAAATCCCCCGTAGGAGCTGAAAAGGTACCTATCTTCTGCGTGAGGAGGGTAGCAGGGGTCAACACCAATGGATTTGCAGGATCGGCGGATATTGGACCCAAGGGTCTTGCGTTCATGATGGCCGCTACTTCTGCCAGAAGAGTTGTGAGAGCCTCATGTGTTAGCCTTGAGGATCCTTCCTGCAAGAATATGGAATCCATGATTCTCCGGGCTATGCCTATCATCCTCTCCCATGCGCCGCCCATGTGAGAGGAGTGAGGTGGGTTGAATGTCCACGTGCAGCCCTGTTCAGATAGGTAGTTCTCTACACGGACAGTGTCAATGTTGGAAGGAACCTTGAGTTCTTTGCAGGCTCCGATGAAATTGGTGCCTCTATCCGAGCGGATATGCTTCACTGGACCACGTATTGAA